CACACAGGGGGATGATGTGCCGGTGCAGCAGTGGTTCAGGGCATGAGGCCGCTGGCAAGGCACAACCCAGGGCAGAGGAGAATGGTCTGTCCACCCACGCCACCAGGTGCCGTTGGCCCTGGTTCTGATGCAGCTTTCAAACGCTGGCAGTTCCGCGGCGTCCGGTGGAGCAGGGCTGGCTAGAGCCAGGGCAGCCTCCGGCCCTCCACGGCTCCACCAGCTTACCGGAGCACACCAGGCCTGCTGGGTTTTGCCACCTCCCCAGGCTACACGCGGCCCCTCCTTAGGAAAGGCAGCAGGTCTGAGTCAGGGGGAAAAAATGGATTTAAATTGTCTGCAAAACGTGTTGCTGCTTTGAGACGCTGAGGGGTTTTTTTTCCAAGAGCAAACAGGCTCTGACCCCTCCCGGGCACGTCGAGATCCTGAGAAGTGCCGTGTCCTGCCTGCTGGTGGTGCAGACACAGCTGCCTTCCCCTGCCTGCTCCTGCTGCCCCTCGGACAGGCGCGTCCTTGGAGCTCCGGGTGCAGCATCTCCCAGCAAGTCCTGGATGGGAGTTCACAAAGTCTCAGGGCTGCTGTAGCTCTGGCTTGGTGCCATGGATGTGAAGGTAGCTCTGTTCCCCACCGCTCGTGTCAGCATAGTGGGTGAAGTCATGCCACCTGGGGGGTGCCGAGGTTCAGATCCTCTGCTGCTCCTGCCAGCACCGGGCTGTCCCCTCTGGGGACGGGGGACAGGAGCATTTCCTGCACTCTCCTTACCCTCCCCAGGCACCCCAACAGGGCTGGCATTGCCCCATCCTGGGAAGGAGCTGAGCAGGCAGCCAGGCCTGCTCTGGGCCAATGTGAGAGGTGTTCGGAGCACAGGACACAGCCGTGGGCCATAAGGAGCCCCATGGGGAGTGGGGGGTTTGTCTGCCAGGAGTGGGGAAGAAGAGCCTGGCTCAGGCCCAGGCTCAGGCATGCTGCCAGGGCAGGCCAACATTAGAGCTCAGAGCTGCTACCCCACAGGCTACCCTGTCACCTCAGCCAGGCAGTGGGGTCTTTGCTGCTGGTTTCTCTTCCTGGGCTGGTGTAAATGAGCCACTTTTCCCCCTTGGGGCTGGGGTGATAGTGCCACCATAGTAGAGGTCCTTGGCAGGGGAGGACCAAGGCACCCAGGTGCCACCATCGCTGACAGCGCTGGTGCCTCTGTCCCTACAGGAGATCATCGATCTGACCTGTGATGACACAAGCACAGACCCGGCACCATGGAACAGCCTCACCATCATTGACCTGACAGAGGACACAAGCAGCCCTCCCCACACCACTGGCTGGGCTGACCAGGACCTCGGGCAGGCGCCTGCTGCCCCAGCAGCACACACATCCCATCCCCAGCTCGGCTCCGCCACAAAGCAAAAAATGGAGGCAAAGGCAGGGCCGAGCCGTGCAGCACCCTGGCACAGTGTTCCCATAGAGCCCAGTGCCACCACGGACACTGCAGAAAGTGCGGAGAACTGGAGCTGCTTCTCTCCCACCTCCAGCTGCCATGGCTCCTCCTGCAGCCTGGAGCAGAACTGCAGCACTACCACTTTTAACAGTGACTTGGGCTCCCTGGCCAGCATGCAGGTGGACTCAGACCTGCTGTCCCTGTCCCCCTCCAGCCTGGACAGCAGTAGCAGCTGGAGAGAGAGTGGCCTAGAAGAAGAGACTCCCCACCTCTGCCACCAAAGGGAGCTTCCCCCAAAGCTAAGCCCTACCCCAGCCATCCCCACAACCTCCAGGAAGGCCCAAGGGCCTTTGCTGGAAGCAAGTGACTTAGCACCACACGAAGCAATCCAGCAAGTGACCCCAGCCAGGACCAAGGCTGACAGCAAGGCCTGGCTGAACAAACTGCACTATTTCAGGAGGAGTGGAGTCCAGCACCTCTTCCTCCAAGGCGTAGCACCCAACAGGGAAACACAGCAGGTAAACGGGGTTCAGAGAAGCTGCTGCCAAGCCTATCTGGAGCCTGCTCAGAGCAGCCCCTGTGGTAGAGGATGGAGCAGGGCCAGCCTGTGCTCCACTTTCCCTGTCAGGGGAAGCTTTGTCAGGCATTTGGGATCTCTGGTTATTGCAGTTCCCTTCATGGTGGGCCCCATATCACAACTGGGTTCCTCTGTGTTGGAGGGAGCCAACTTTCACCCATTGCCTTGCCTTGCACACAGCGGAAACCTGAGCTCATCCCCAGCGGGAAGCTGAGCATGGTGCACACCACCATGGAGGAGAACTTCCTGGAGGGCACCTTGCATTTCCTGAGTGAGTTCGTCTCCCACCAGCACTGTCCCCCCAAAGAAATCATCTCCCACCTGATCAGACAGATCCTGTTGAACCCCCACCAAAGGGAGATCCTGAAGGACACCTACATGCTGCTGATGAAGATCCAAATGTACGTGTTCCCTTTGCCGTGCTGCCCTGGGGCTCGCTAGGTGCTCCCAGGGACCTGCCCAGCATAAAGGTTATTCTCCATGGTCCTTACAGAGCAAGGAGCAATTTCCCCTGGAACCTAGGATGACCCTCCTGCCCCTGCCTCCTGTTATCAGCACAGGCACACCCTGGGCTGTCTGAGGGTGGGTCAGGGACAGCCTGTGACACCAGGGAGCCCTCTGGGACAGAGGAGTGTGTTTGCCTTGCTCCTGAAGTGCAGATCTCATTCTTCACTGCTGTGACATGGCAGAAACGCCTTCCCTGGGCTACCGCAGGGGCCATGGGCTGAAGGTGGCTAGAGTGGTTCCCCCGCTGCCTTCAGGGTTCCCGTGGAGAGGCACAATGTTTTGTGAGACCACAGGCCCAGGAGTCCTGGGCCTCTCCATGGAGTACAGCCTCAGTCAGGTGCTTCCAAAAAATGTACATGGTCGGGGAGGAGAAAGGGAGAGGGCGAAGCTGGAGAGGAGAAAGCAGGGCAGGCACCCAAGCAAGTGGAGCCGGGACGGGCTGGGGAAGGGCCAGGGGCTGCTGAGCCTTCAGGCAGATGGTTGGGCAGTTCAGCACAAATGGACAGCACTGTCCTTGCAGGCTCCATCCAGCCAACGCCGCCACAGTAGGATGGGATTGGACGCTGCTGAAATACATCATGGAGGACCAGGTACTTGGCACTGCATGTGTCACATCGGGCAGGGAGCATCCAATACGTGGTGCCTGAGGGTAAGCATTGTCTCAGGGCCTCACATGGACATGCTCTGCTGCAGAATGGGCCTGTCCAACATGCAGTTTTATTGCAGCCGATGAGGGCAGCAAGTGCCAGTTGGGTATCCTGCATGTATCCACGGTGCTCCCTAACCTGCTGCACAGCTGTAGGCAGGTTGCCTCGTCTGAAGAAGGCACAGCAACAGATAAAGCCTCTGAGGGTCACAACCCTAGTGCAACAGTAGAACAGGTCCAGCAATGCCCCTAGGGCATTGCCTGAGCCAGGCAGCCCCTTCTGGAGCTACTTAGTCATGCACATCAGCCCATTCCCAAGACGGACAAATTCCCTGGTGCTCCTTGCCCTGTGGCTCCGCCAGGCTCATACTGTCTCCATCTGCCCTCAGGATAAGCCCCCTGGCTGGCTCCTCTTCCTGCAGTACGTGGTACAGACCCTGGAGGATGACTTCCAGCAGAATCTGAGGCTGCGCCTGGTGCAGAAGTCGATTGCCAAGAAAGTGCTTTCCTGTGACTTGTGCTTCAACAATGTCAAGTAAGGGACACCTCCTCCTCCCCTGTTCTCTAACCAGATGCCGAGAGGCAGGGGTTCAGGGAACACTTGTCAAGACTCCAAATCAGACTTTCAGACTTTACAGGAAACAAGCTTAGGAGACACAGGGAAGTGTAGGGCCCATGTATAAAGAACAGGAGGAGGTTTACAAAATCAAACCACCAGAGATGATGCAAGGCATTTCCAGCCGCAGCCTCGCGGACTTTTCCCAGGAACAAGGTCAGATTTGCATTGCTCAGGACAGGACTGAGAAGGAGGCAGTCCTGTTGAGCAGCAAACTTATATGCTTGTCAACAGTGCTACTCCCTAACCTGTCCAAGCGGGTGGGATGTATTTTTCTTCTCCTTGGGGTCTTTCCTCAAGCTCCAAGTAGATCTAGAGGTCAGAACGCAGCAAAACTGGGCCCGTCCCCACTGAAGTTCCTGTTTCTGTCCCAGGGAGGTGGTTGAATGGTTGGTCGCAGCAGTTACAGGAGTCGGGTTCTCCCAGCCCTGGGAGCAGCCGCAAGAAACTACATCCTCTTCAGCAGAAGCAAGGGCTGAACGCAGCTCATCTGCACCGTGGCAGGCCAGCACTGACCAGGCAGAGGTGGCTCCCTCAGCTTTCTTCACCCAGAAGTAAGCCACAGAAGTCCTGACTCCCTGCTGGCATTATCATTGGGCCCAAGTCAGGGAGAAGCCAGAGTCTTTCCCTCTCAGGTCAGGGAAGCCAGGCTGTACCTGTGACCAGTTTTGATGGCTTTCCTTTGTGGTAGACATAGACTTGGTAAGCAAGAGACTTCCTCAGCTGGTAGGAAACTGGCTCAGTTAAACATCCTTCTCTTGCATGTAGCCTAAGGCTGGAGCTCTTGTCCCACAGCCCAGGCTGCCCCATGCTGCTCCACCAACACTCATTACAGCTGACAAGACCTCCAGAGGGCTCATCTGGGGATTAGCTCTGCTTCCAAGAGCATCAGATTCAAAAGCCACCAAGAGACACCAAATCTAGCCTGCTACATTCCCCTACATCCCTCACTGCAAGGCACAAGGCTGAACTAGGTGCCATCCCCACTGCTTTACTTTGCAAGGTGATGAGTAGCATCTCCTAGTATTGACTGTCTCTCTAACCTAGGGTGATGTTCCTGCTCCAGCGGATGTTGTCCATCGCAGTGGAAGTGGACAAATCTCCCAACTGCAGCTCCTGTAAGATCGCAGATGTGATATTCCCATTTGTACTGAATATTCCCCTGAGGAGCCAAAGGTGAGACAAACATGCGCAAGGCAGCATCTACCTGTGTGAGCAGTAGTCTTATTCCTGATTACATCCAAGTCTGGATTCATAAAGTACCACAGCGTATAGAAAGACAGGCTCACTTATGACCCATCCAGCAAAAGCATGGCTGTATCTCCATGGAGATACAACATCACCAGCTGAACACATCTACCCAGCTGGTGTGTTGCTGAGAACAGTTGATTCTCCCCCTTGTTAGAGTTGCACGACCTTAAAACTGAAAAGCAGCACTCTGCATTAGCCCAGTCAAGTACTGGCAAACACTTCACTGATTCCCAGGGGCAACTGGGTAGCTCATCAGAAATACAATGCAGTTCCTACCACTTTGCCTTGACATCGTTTTGCTTGCTTCTCTAAGAAATGTAGTATCTGAAGCCAAAGCACAAGGGCCTGACTGGCTCTAGTGTAGACATGAGACCACTAGACCCACAGACATTTCAAACCCATGTCTGCCAGTCCCAGCAGGCAGCCCTTTCAGACCCTTTTAACAGAACTCTCTCTGAGTACCCACTGGGTCTAATCAAGCCAAACTGACTCTAACCAAGCTTTCGTTCCTCCCAGGACAGCCTCCTAGATCCAGCTAGCTGTTGACCCCACTTCACACTTGCTTGGCTGTGCTCCCTGCAAGTCAGCAGGA